GTATAGTAACTATAACGGTACTTATTACTCCTAGGACCTAAACTATCCCTACTATCTAATAAAGATATCCCCCTAGTATATATATTAGGTAACCTTAAAGTTATATAAGTTAACTTAAACCGGAATGCCTAGGCTATAGAAGTAGTACTCTAGGATACTCTCTAATTAGGTATCTACCTAATATTTATCTAGGAACTATAGATAATACTATAAGATAATATAACTAATATATAATTAATCTCCTACCTCTCTATAATATAAATTCTCCTAACCTTCCTATAGGGCTTACGTCCTTAGATAATACTCTACCTAAATAAATCTCTTACCTATATCTAGGTAAATTCTTACCTAGATATCTTCCCTAGCCCTAACTACCTTACTATAGATTTAACCTATAGAGAAGATACTATCTATATAGTTAATATCTATAATAAGGCGGAATAAGGCACCCTATCCTCCCTATATATAATAGAAAGAGTTATTAAGTATAGCCCCCCTACTATACTAATAATCTATATAGGGGACTTTAATAAATACTATCTAATATAGGACCTACTCTCCCCCTAATCTTATAAAGTAGAAGCTCTATATAAATAGATTAAGGAAAACCGCCTTAAACTCTAAAACTAATCTAGAGTAGATACCTTCTTTTATATAGGGATAGAAAGAGAAATAGTTATTAACCTCTCCCTATATACTCTAATAGTTACTACTTAAGTAATTAACTAGTAGGTATAAGAGAACCCCCTATCTAACTATAACGCTATTCTCTTTACTATTATATATAACGAGTTTTAAGATATACTAATACTACTACTATAGTTTAACATTAAAAAGGCTAACTAGGCCTAGTATAGGTAAATCATCTAAGAAGAGTTAAATAAGATTATAAGTCTACTTATCTAAGCCCTTCCTAATAGGGCATAATATTTACTCTCTAGTAGAACCTTATAAGAGGACCTAGACTAACTTAGATAACGCCTTATAAAGGTAATAGAGATAGTAGCTAAATATAGCATCCTATAGGTAACCCCTAGATAGTAATAAAAACTATAGTAGTCCCTACTCCTTATAGCCTTAAGGATAACTACTATATAAGTAAGGCGTAGGGCATATTATAACTAAGTTATATATATATAAGTATAGAATATGTATAATACGGCTATTAAGTAGGTAAAATAAGAGTACTAGAATAACTTCCTTACGAAAGAAATACCCTAGTCTATCTATAAGGTAATAGCGTATATAAAAGTAACCCGATCTAAGTAAATCCCCTAGATACGTAACCTTTAAGATTAACTCTAATCATTATATAATAGTAAGTATACTACCTTCTATTAGAAACTCTTCCCCCTACTACTATATATTCCCCTATATAACTAGATAAACTATAAGAAAGGGCTATAGGACTAGCCCTCCCTTATAGATAAGAAAGTATAGTATGCCTACTCTTATAAGATTAAAGGTACTACCTCTAGGCTAGACTAGATCTACTAGAAGATAATTACTAAGGCGTATAACGCTTATCCTAAAAAATTTACCTAGATATACTAAACCTTCTTTATATATAGATATTACCTAGAATGCTAGAGAGAAGTAGTAGGTATAATACTTAAGAAGCTAGGGAAACCTAATTATATAGACCTAAAAGCGTATAGAGTTATCTCCCTACTTAACTACCTAGGAAAAGTCCTTAAACGCATTATAGTAAAACATCTTAGAGTGCTTATAGAAGCTACCTACCTTCTATACCTATCCTAAATAGGCGGATAACTATAGAAGTTAGTAATTAATATAGTAATAATCCTTATATATATTATCTAAGATGAGAGGAGGGTATAGTATAAGATATTAACCCTATTCCTTAATATATAAGGTGCCTTTAATTATATAGCCTATAACTAGCTCTTATATATAATAGGGGAAATTAGGCTCCCTACCTCCCTCCTAGTATAGGTAAAGATATTTACTAGTAGGTAATAACTCTAGATCTCCTTTAATAGCTAATAAGAGGACCTTTATCTAATAGTTTTAGGAATCCCCTAGGGAAGCCTAGTCTTACTAATCCTATTTCTTATTTATATATAAAAACTCTTTTCCTCTTACTTAGTCTAATTCCTCTTATATATTAATAATGTTTTAATTATAATCTCCTTAATAAGCTAGAAGAAAAATGCGCGGATCCTCTAGTAGGAAGCTAACTAGCTTTTCTTACTTAGAACCTAATATACCGTTAATTTTAATAAAGATAAAATAGACCTTATCTATTTTATAAGCTTAGATAAGGCTAAGTAAGCTATAATTACGCTCCTAGGAGACTATATAGTATAGCTAAAGTAACTTATCTAATAGCTTAGGATATAGTTTAATATACGCCTATTATTCTAGTAGTATATAATAATTTAGAATACCTAAGTAAAGTAATTACTTAGTAGGCTTATATAGCTAGCTAATATATAATATAGACTATTCCCTACTACTATCTAATAACTATACCTAGCTTATATATAAAGTATAGTAGATTATAGGTCTCTAGTTTTCTAGTAAGTTAGTAGCTCTAAGATACTTAGATAAATACTTTAAAATAATAGACTATACTAAATCCTAGGAGCCTTTTAGACCTCCCTAATTACCCCTATAGAAATTAAAGTAGGACTTCTCCCCCCCCTACCTAAGGCGTAATATGTTACTTTAAGTATATACTATATAACTCTTTAAGCTTAGTTACTAATACCTAGTACGTATAATTATTAATAAGTTTAAATAAGAGAATATACTAGGATAATAGATATAACTTAAATATATCTAGAGTATAATTTTAGACCTAGTAATAGGTACTAAAAGCCTAATTAAACATAGTTCCTTTCCCCTATAGAAAAAGACTACTCTATATAAAGTTAAGATTAGCTACCTCCTAAAGGAATAAGAAGCCTAAGTATATATTAGATATATAGAATATATAACTTAGGTAGTTATTCTATACTCTAACGCTTTATCTATCCTAAAAGGAAATAGAGTAGGTATAGGAATTATAGTATATAACATCTAATAAGATAGTATAAGAGTAGTAGTAAGATATAGAGGAAATACTAGACTATACTAGCTTATATATAATAGAGAACTAGAGGTACTTATAAGGGCTATAGAGTTAGCTACCTAGAAATAGCTAGGATAATAGATTATAGTATATATAAATAACTAAGCTATACTATACTACCTCTAAACCCTATCTAACCTACTAGGTTAAGGACTATAACTTTAAGCTATAGATATAGGCTACTTAATTATAGCTAGATAAGGTAGTCTTACCTTCTTATAGGCCCTAGGCTATATAGGGATTAGAGGAAACCTATAAGTAGACGCCCTTATAAAGGAGGCTACTAAGCTAACCCTAGAGAATAACTACTTAAGTACTACCCTCCTTAGGATATACGTATAATAAAGAACTATAATAGAATAGATAGTATATACTATATAATACTAGGAAGTATAGATAATACTATCCTAGAGGTTATATATATATAACTTCCTATCTATACTAAGGATGTCTATCTAACTCCCTAAGTATAGATAACTAGAAGTATTAGCCTACTTCTAATTAAAACTAAACTATAGCTACTTTAAAGCCTACCTATTACGGTTTAGTAAGATAGTCTAGGATAACTATAGCTATAATAATACTACCTAATAAATACTATAATATCTTATTAGTAACTACCTACTCTATAGCTCTACTAGGAAAGAAGTAATATAGAAAGCGCTTTAGGTATATAATAATAATAGTAGGAATATAGCCTCTATACCCTATAGAGAGCTATTCTAAGGAGACGTTAGTTAATAATTTATACTTAAATTTATATATTAGATAAAGGTTTCTACTAGGGTATAGCATATATAAAGAGTAGACTAAGGGAAAAGAAGAGTAAAAAGAAGAAGAGAGAATCTATTCTAAGCTCTATTAGTAGAGTGAATAATAAGCTCTATAATCCCTCTACTTATAGTTCCTATAGGTACTACCCTAGAACCCCTCTAACTAAAGATAATCTAGGAAGGGACCTCTTTATCTATAATCTACCTAATACCCTCTAGGCTTATATCCCTCCTCTACCTTATATAGAGCCTCTACTAAGACCCTAGCCCTCTAGATTAGGAAGGCGTTAATATAACTTAGATAACTACTCTATAACTACTCTAGCTAAACTCTCCTACTCCTAATAATAATTAGATAACTATTTAGTAGTAAGGTAAGAGCTTAATACTATTTATCTATATAGTATACCTAGGCTAGGGCGGCGTATAGAGCCCTATTATTAGTAATAATATTAATATATAGTTATCTAATAGCGGTAACTAGGCTAGATTAAATTATAAGTAATATTAATATAGATTAAACCTAGGTTCTTAAGTATTCTTTATTTTCTATAATAAGTATTAGCTAACTATACTAGTTAGCTAGAAGATAGATACTACTAGTTAAAAACCTTACCTACTTTTTTTACCTTTATAGGTGCTAAGAAAGGTATTATATAATACTAACTAAGAATAGTACTATTAGAGATAGTACTAGAATGCTATAGTAGAGTATATATATAATCTACCTTACCTACTACCCTATACTATATTTACTTTTCTATATATACCTTCTCCCTATCCCCCTTCCTTTTCTTACTCTTACTCTATACTACCTATCTACTTAGATAATAGTAGGAAGGCTAGTCCTTAGCCCCCCCTTATCTAAAAAGAGCCTAGATAAACTATCTATCTATACCTACTCTATACTAATATTATACTAAGAATTATATCTTATTATATAAGATTCTTTAGCTAGGTATCTCTACTTATCTTATAAACATATATAGGATCCCCTATAGATAGCTCTATCTTAGATAGCCTATAGCTCTAGTAAGACGTAAAATAATTAATTAATTAATCTCCTATGAGAGCAGTCTCGCTGCACATGCAAGATATATTATTTAAGTGTAGATATAACAACTGAAATTGGTCGGTTGGCGCAATGGTAGCGCGCACCCCTCCTAAGTCGAGTAGGATAGATCCGGGACTTTGACCCGTAAATCGTCAGGGTGAGGCTGTGGGTTCGAGTCCCACATCGATCGTTTGATGAAGTCTTTTTGACGCGTGGAATGCGATCTTTTTGTTCCTGGAGATCCTGGGATGTTTGGGGGGATGTGGTGGAGGTCTGGGAGCATTTGTGGCCATTTTGTGCGTTTGTGTGGTAAGGGACGGCGGGTTTGGGAAGGGACGGTGACGACGAGGGTAGGCTCGTTTGATTTTGGCAGTGACGGGCGGGGGAGGCGTGGTTTGCGTAAGGGAAGACGGTAAGGGGACGAGAGAGTGGTGAGTGACTTATCGGTGAGGACGAGATGGGGAGGTGGTTTGAGGGTTTGGCGGAGAGACTGAATGACTGGTGTGTCTGCATTGCCTGGATGGGATCAAAGCAGAGTTCACGCGGACGCCGCAGCGACACGTGGACGGTCGATGTGTGCGGCTGTCTGTACTTACCTGACAGTGAACATCTACGGAGCACGACGCAGTCTGACGGCATGGTGACCATCTCCAGAAGCAAGAACCCACGTCTACAAGCCCAAGGACACCGAAGTCCCGCCTATTGACGGCCTCAAGGAGGGCGCTGTCCCTCAGTCACTCAGTTCCCTATACCTACCGCCAGCCGTCTCTCCAGCAGTGCCCAGTCAGTCGGTGACCCCAACCGCCCACTCGCGCCGCCGTCCACTACGACAACAACAGCAGCCACTCATCCCCTGCCCTGCCTGTCAGGCGTTCCCCGCTCCGCTCCGCTCCGACCTCATGGTCCAAGTGTCGGTCCATGCCGTCAGTGCGCGCGTGCGTACGGGCCAATCAATGGCGATCAGTTACGCAATGCGGGCGGGCGGGTGGCTTGCTGGTTCGGCTAGCTGGCTGGGCATCGGGGATCGCTGTCGACGTTGGAGTTGGCGCGCGAGGGGTGTGAAGAGCCGCGGTTATTTGGTCGGTTGGTCGCAAATTGGGCGGAGGATGGAGAGGCAAGGAAAATGTTTGATTGCCGTGTTGTTTGGTTCTGAAGCTATCCACGGTGGAGACGCTGCTTGTGGTGTAGCTGGCTGGCACTGTGAGCGCTGCTGCATCAACGGACGGGGTACGTGAAAGAATGGAGAGAGGGAGTGAGGTTCAACGGTACGGCGCGGCTAAGCGAGTGAGTGCGGAAAGCCAGACATGGCGGAGAGACGTCCGCCGAGACAGACGCCTGCCCTGCCGACGACGAACGACGGACGGTGGTCTCGAAATTTGGCCGCGCGGGTCAAGATGGAGAGGAGACGCGGAGGAAGACACGAAGACGGATGGAGTAGTTCGCAGCAGCAGCAGCAGCAGGGAGCGATGGCAGACAGTTGAATAGCTACACAGACAAGCGGCAGATCTGATTCGTCGCTGTCCATGGCACAAGCAACGTGGTCGGCAACGTAGGGGCTTGTTTCGGGGAAGCGCTTCGAGCGCCAGGAGGATGCACGACGGAGGAGCGTCGACGTCGACGGGCATTACAACGACACTGCTGCTTCGTCGGCCCACAATGGAGAAAGAAGAGAGGGAGAGGGAGAGGGAGAGAATAGTGGTGGAGTGGAGATGCTGCGATCCCCCTGGTATTGTTTGCCGCCGGCCGGTCGGTCGGTCGCATAGGTAGCAGTCTGTCGCACGCACGCACCTCGAGCTCGAAGCCGAGGCGGACATTTGAATGCTTATCTTTATAGACGTGATGACGCATGGCGCGTTTCGTTTGATGATGACGCTCCCGACGATGCAAATGAATGCCCATTTGGTCATTTTGTCTGCTAGCCGAGCGGCATCCTGCGACAAAAGACTTTGCGGTGTAACTCTACGCAAGGCCGCCAAGGCATCAGACGACGGCCGACATGCCAAGATTCGATATGGAATGTAGTCGAGGCACAATGGTGGTGGCTGATTCATTTGGCAAGTGGCTGAGCTCTTCTTTGACCATGGACAATAGCAGTGCTCCTCGTCCTCGACTGCTCGTCTCTGACCGATGCCGACAGAAGGCTCGGTGTTAACTGTGGAAGATCAGTCTGCATATGACTGCAGAGGGGAAGGCCTAAAACAGGCTCTGCATGCACGCCGATAAGAGGCAGCTGCACTGATAGGGATGGAGAATAGGGATGGCCAGCTACCTATCCAAGTCTGGGGTAGGGGATCAGATAGTCTTGGACCGGGACGCATATAGCAAACAGACCGGCGAGGCCATGTATACCTGTACAACACCGACACCATTCACGGTCTTCTCGTGATAGACACTGGTGGCCTTGGCAGGTTGAGACTCGCATCGGCATGGAATGATGGATCAGCGTCGACGGACAGACGGCAAAAAAGACGCAGCAACCAGCAGATGCGGGGAGACGGAGAGCAAGAAGATCAGTAGGCCGGTCAAACGAAGCAGGCAGTGTGTATATCAGAAGTCTAGAGTCAGGAGTCCCATTCATTGCACATGCATGCAATGCAGTCTGTGTGGTCGTGGTCGTGGTCGTGGTCTGGTCGCTGACTCGGGACGGCGCGCTGTGTGCTCAAGTCTCTTCTGGTGGCCACTGGCCCCCGCTACCACCTCCACCCTCACTCACCACCACATACAAACCCCGTCCCAGGCCGATTCCATAACTTGGCGCTCTGCATTATTCTTCCGTCGCTGTCACTCTTTCTCCCACGATACCCAAATCCAATCCGAGTCCATCTCCCGAGGCGCCTCCCGAGCCAGCTCTCCCCAGCTGCCTCATCCCAACCGCATCCCACCACCACCTGGTCTCGGCATCCCACCCACACCAGCTCATCCCTCCTCCCCCCTATCCTGCAGCTCCAGTCGCTTGCTCCGCCTTGCTTCAAGTCACGCCCGATCGGCCTTGTCGTTGAATTCCCGCCATGGCATCGCTCTCGTCGTCGCGCCAGCGATCCTCCGACTCGCTCTCTACCCAGGCCTCGATGCAATCCGACAACTCGGCAAAGCGAATCCGCCTGCAACCAGCCCACTTTGACGCCGACGATGCCCAGGGTCAGTAGACAATTCACTTTTCAAGTCAAGCCATTCACGCACGTCCAAATCGTAGCTTCAAAAAATTCAAAACCCTTCGCCGAGGATGCAAGCGACCCTCAAATCGCCCGAATCACGTGGCCTACCTTGTTCACGAATGGTACCTAGAAAAGGCTAACATCATGGTGCCCACCTCAGTCTTGACCTGCCACACGCTCGAGTACAGCATGCGGCTAGCGGAGGAGCACGATTCGGCCAGGCTGGCCGAGATGGAGCAGGAAGATGAGGCCGAGCTGCAGTCGAGCAGCGTGCGGTACGTCGTTGCATCGGGACCAGGAACCACGACGGCCGCCTCGCAGTCGGCCGCAGAAGCAGCAGAGGCCGCCGAATCGACCCGGCCACAGTCCCCTTTTCACGTCGAGAGCATCCAGCCGCGCGACCGCACGCGCGAGGAGTACGTCAACGCGCTCAAGCAGGGCTACAACCAGCTGATTGAGCTACTGCTGCGCGACATTGCCCGCGGCTGCGACACGCTCGTCGGCTCCAAAGTGCACTCGGTCAGCAAAATCTGCTACGACATTCTCACCTCGACCGAAAACAGCATCCTTCACGCCCTGATCGACGGCAACCTCGCCTGGGACGCTGAGCACGACTCTGCCACCGTAGAAGCCATCGGCCGCCTGCGGGCCCAAGCCGCCTCGCAGCCGTGCATCTACCAGCGCGTCCTCGTCGACGAGCTGAACCAGTCCGCCAGCCCCACTGAGCTCTTTGACGTGATTGAGGCTCTGCGTCGCTACTCGCGCACCAGCGAGTGGGAGCTGGCCCTGTCCGTCGACACGTACAAGAGCCCGGACAAGTGGAACGAAAACCTGTCCAAGGCCGGCCGCCGCAAGTACCTGGCGTCGTACGAGAATGCATACTCCACGCCGTCCGAGGCGCGCATCGCCGAGCTCGAAATGTTTTGCCAAAAGCTGCACTCGCGCCTCGACAAGACGCCGACGAGCGAGTGGGCCGAGCCGCTGCGCTTCCCGCTCGTCGACGTGGGCTACACGGTCAACTACGCGGCGCGCGAGGCGGCCAACGACGCCCACACGTCGTCCAAGTTCCTCATGAACCTGGTCGAGGCCGTGGCCAACGCCCTGTTCCCCGGCCGCGGATTCCGGGCCAAGCAGTTCCCCATCTTTCTCATCTTCGAAGCACAACAGGCCGTCATGGCGGACCTGGTCATGGGGGCGCTGTCGCAGGCACTCCTGTCGACGGGCGGCGGCACGGCGTACTGGTCGACGGACCTGCTGCACGCGTCGGCCATGTCCGTCGACGACAAGAACTGGATGCGGTACGAAAAGTGGGCCGTCGACCACTCGCCGTACGTGGCCAACTGCCGCGCCGACGCGCCGCGCCAGAATGCCGAGCTCGACCGCATCAAGCGCATCATCGAGGCCAAGAAGCGCGAGATGCTGCTGCTCAAGCGCGAGTACAACGAGGGCCAGCTGCAGATGCGTCTGGCGGCCCGCGACATTACGCGGCGCGTCGCTCGCTGCAACCGCTACCAGTTCTGAAGCGCGGCCGGGCAGCTATACATGTCCTTGGCCCTTCTCGCCCTTGGCGAGTGAGGTATTGAACCAATCCTTTCGGCTGATTCAACTCGGCTCCTGCCCCATCTGCTTCCATCCCGGCGACATTTCCGTCTTCCGATTATGGCCATCTCCTTCTCGGTCCTTGTGTTTTGTTTCCTTGTAATCTGTCCGGAGTCGGCGTGTTTCGACGGCGGGGCCGGCAGGGAGGTTGCGTACGTATTTACGGGATGGTTCGGGCGGTGTTGCGGAGTCGACGGTTCGAGATGAGGTTGCGAGAACGAAGAAGAATCCGCTCAACGAGCATCAGCCGTTGAGAGACGTCTCGGGGTTTCGGCAGGCGAATGGAAGAGGTGACGAAACGGTGCGGTCGGCGTCTCACACTGCGTCTGGTTTGACGCGCAACCCGTCAGTCAGCAGAGGTCGGGAGCAAGACGATGATGGGGGGATGGAAGGAGGAGATGGCGAGATGGCGACTCGACTTATATGCAGACGCGGC